TCTCTCTCTCTCTCTCTCTCTCTCTCTCTCTCTCTCTCTCTCCTTCTTTTCGTCCTGCCCTCGTCGGTCTACAGGCCTACGGGTACGAGTTATGGCCTGGTTAAACTTTTACGATCAGAGCCCGTCGGGTGGCGGGGGCCAGAGGACTGGGCGGTGCTGGCTGGGCCCGGCTCGCTGGGCTCCGGGACGCGTAGCGGCAGCGCCGCGCGACCGGGCGGGGAGGGCCGAGGAGGGCGAGGCGTGTTACGAAACGCTTGGGCGGGATAGCCCAGTACTCGATAAAGAAGCTCGTAAAACGACAAAATAACAAAAATGGAATCATGTAAAAGTATCCCGCTCATGCACGGTATTTTCAGATGGGCTCTCCGACCGACCAGAACTGGGGGGTGGAGAGTGAGAGGTGGACAACCACCTCGCGGGACAACTAACTACCCATACGGGCGCGGCGCGGCGCGCGGCGCGACTGGGCAGACTGGCTGGCCGCGCCTGCCGTGCCGGGCGGCGCGCGGGGTTACCGGCGCACCCCGTGTGTTGCTACACCGAAGGCGTTAGGAGTTTCGTAAAAGCGCGCCACCAATGGCAGGGAGCCTTAACGCCGAGCGGCGGCGGCCTGGAGGCGGGGGAGCAACAGAGAAGGTCGCAGGTCGCGGTGTCATCGTGCAAGGGGAGGGGCGGCGGAGCAGGGGTCAGCCCGGTGGTGTCCGCACGATCGGATTCGCCATCCAAACGGCACGGAGATGGACAAAGTTTAACCCGTGGCCTTCCCCTCGCGAGCCCACATCTCCCGCGCCCGAGCAGGAGTGTTTGGTTAGTGTCTATCGCGGGAATAAGCAAGCAGGGAGGCGGCGGGGGGCGCGGCGGGGAACGTCGTCTTCTGGGATCGCTTCGGCTCCGCGCCCGCCCGGCGAGACGGACTGCAAACCGCACAATGCAGACGGCGAGTGCGAGGAGGGAATTCCCTTGCGCGGGCCGTCGTCCGGTTCCGCATTGCTTCCGTACGCACGACAACACACACACACACACACACACACACTCGTCACCTTGAACAAAAACGGCAGCCATTAAACACCAACGACAGCGCGTACGTGTCACAATAACGTCCCCGGAGGAGGCGCTGCATCGCCTCCCGCGCCCCGCCCCACCCTGCCCACCGATGTAAACAGGTAAGAGGGCTGCGGCCCGGCCGGCCAGCCGCTGGGAGCGAGCCCACGTGGCAGCGCGCGGAGCGGAGCCCCTTTCTCCTCAGTCTCTCTCGGTCTCTCTCTCTCTGGTCAAACGCAACAGAACAAGAACGGGTGTGCGCGGCGGCGGGACGCGGGGAGGACGAGTCAACAGCGTTTCTTTTCGAAACGCTGGTCGTCGTCGTCGTCGCTGCCGGTCCTCCGTTAAAAATCTGCGTTGCGAAAAAATTGACCACCATCAAAAACGGTTTGCGACAACAATTCGCTGTATACGCGCTGGGCGGCCGCGGAGCCGGAGTCCCTCGCAACCTGTCAAACTGGCCGCCATCACTGCAACCCAACCTGTGGCGCCCGTGAGGCGGTCGTGGGAGGGGGGGAGGGGGGCTCTGCAGGCGCCACCACCCCCTCCGCCGGCCTCCGCCCGCAGCGCGCTGCCCGTCTGACCTTTCTCGACGCGATCGAAGTCGCGCAGGATGCGAGCGGCCCACCCCCACCCGCCCCGGGCACCACAAAGCCCCCCGGGGCGCCCCCTCTTTTCGGGCCGTTCTCTGCACAAAATACCACGGTTCTAGAGAGGATCGAGGTAGCTTTTGTTTCAAAGCAATTCGCTTAGAGAACCGACGGAGACAATTACTGGAAAGCCATGATAAACATATCTCACTATAGATAATAATTAGTACCTCGCATGTGTATTTTATTATATTGTCAACCAAATGAACCCAATGAGAGTCCCGTGAAAAGTTGTGCCCCACCATGCCACAACCCGAAACAATGGCGTGGTTTGTGTGTCCGGCGGTGAGCGGCTCGTAAGAGGATGGTACCGTCCCCTGCCCGCACGCCGGCCAGCTGCGCGGTTGCACGGACCGTCGGTCCGTAACACACTCGTACTACACCGCGTCCTTTTCCAGTCCAGCGCCCCCAGTTTGCTTTTCTAATGCCGCCCGTCCGGAGCAGGCCCCTTCGCTTGCACAGACGCGTGTGCGCGAGCGGCTGTCCTGCAAGAGCGTGGTTATTTATAGCCCGGGCCGGGCCGGCTGGCTGCCTCATGGCCTCCACCACCACCAGCTCGGCGCCGCTCTCCACCGAAAGAGAGCCGCCCCCACCGCGCCTCCCCTCGAGGATGCACATGCGATCTTATCTCGGCGGCCGCCCGTTTGCTGAAGTTTACAAGCGGACATGAGAGACATGAACTGGTGCCAATGCAACTCTGGCTGCACCTGCACTGCACCACAGCCCTGCACCGAGTCGAGCAGCCGGCGACTCTCACCCGCCGCCGCCGCTCCGCTGGCCTACATCGCTCGCATGGCGCTGACCTGCATCACGGTGCAGGTCCGTGCAGGTGCAGGACAGACGAATGACACTTGTCACGAGAACGCGCGGAGCCCCACACACATACACACATTGACACACACGCGCGCTCGCTTGCACGCTCTCGTTCACTCAGTCAATCTCATCGCCATCGGCCCTATCCGTGGCGCCGCCCGCCAGGGCCGGGCCGGGTGGCCTGGCTTGGCGGCGCATTAGGTATTCACAGGAGTCTAGCAGCCGGGACGCGGCGGGGGCGGTGCGCGGGCCGACTTGCAGGGACGCAACTGGGCCAGCCGTGGTAAGGCGCCGGCGATGGGCGCGAAAGGATCACGGCGACATAGCGTTCTGCAGTAGCAGCTCACCTCGAGGAGTACTTCTACTGGGCAGAGGACGGTGGCACGGCGAGCTGGTAATCCATGTGAGCACGAGCACGACGGGGAGGGCGCGGCGCGGGCGTGACGGGGCGGGACGCGGAGTGGGACGCAAGCGGGACGCGGAACAGCGGCGGAGCGACACACGGTCCGCGCGCGGCGAGCGGCACCACAACACTGGCCTGGCTCTGGGCTGCCCTGCTCCCCGTCCTGCCCTGCCCTGCCGCGGCAGGCGCGCGCCTCCACCTCCGCGCCCCCCTCCCGCGCCTCCC